CAAGTATTCATATTGGGTTTAATTTAGCAATTCTTCTTTTGCAGGGGACAAAATGTACTTCAGAATGTTTATCCCCCAGTCAAAATTATCTTGGCATTAGCAACCTTTCCCAAAGCTGCTCTTGTCATTTAGTTGTGCTGTAGTTCTGTTATTGCTGATACCCATTACAATTATCCTACAGCCCTCCAGTATAAAGCATCAAGTGTTCATTCAACGAGTGCCATCGAGGTTTGAGTTATCAATAACACATCTCACCATCTTAGAACTGCCATTTCCATGTGACCCTATTGAAGAAAATGACTGAACACTACTTAGTCCTCATTCCTTGGTTAAATAACAATTTTGACATTGCTTTCATCTCAGCAGATTGTTCCTAATTTGTTTTGCTCAGCTCCATCTCTCTGAAATGGAACACAGATTAAAAATTAAGGTTTGTGAACATACCTAAAGATTATGTTCGGGTATTGAGTCAAAAAACAAAAGTAATTGATTTTGTATGGCCCTTTGTCACATCCTCAGGGCATCAAGTTGGTTTACAGTCAATAAGTAAAACCAGTTTTACAGTAAGCTTGTTCACCACTTTATGAAATATGTTTTATTTACTGTCAAGTTGCACACTTTTCAAAATAAATTGTCTTATTGGCAGTTGAAAAAAATGCATGATCCAATCATTTAGCAATGTAAGTAACAAAGGAATATTGTGATTTAGTGCAGAAAACCATCTAAATTATCAGTAACTTTGAATTAAGAGGTGCACGCTAAAGCTGCCATATAAGTGCACGTAAGGCCGTCTGCTGGACATTACAGCTTCACTGTGCTCTGTCATTAAGCCGTGCTGTTGACAAACATGCGAGCCAGATCACAGGTAAATATCTTCCCTTCCAAACTGAGGTTTATAGTTTAGCATCTTAGAATATATTAGAAATGATTGAATGATGAAGCAAGATCTACGACCTGCCTTTGCCTGGATCCATATTATTGTCTTTGATACTAAAATAATTGTAAAGATTGCCAAACTGTTTGGATTCCTGGTCATGAATGTGCCATTTGAAGTCGACATTGCAATGTTTGAAGTTTTCGAAGCTATAGAACATAGAACATAGAACAGTACAGCACAGTACAGGCCATTTGGCCCACGATGTTGTGCCGGAATTTTACCTGAATGCTCAGGTCTATCTAACCTCCACCCCTACCTTATACTATCATCCATATGCCTATCTAATAGCCGCTTAAATGCCCCTAATGAGGCTGACTCCACTACCCTCTCTGGCAATGCATTCCACGCCCCAATCACTCTGACATCTCCCCGATATCTCCCTCCACTCACTTTAAAACTATGCTCCCTCGTAATAGCTACCTCCATCCGAGGAAAAAGTCTCTGGCTGTCTACTTTATCTATACCTCTGATCGTTTTGTACACGTCTATCACGTCACCTCTCATCCTTCGTCATTCTAATGAGAAAAGCCCTAGCGCTCTCAACCTTTCCTCATAAGACCTTCCCTCCATTCCAGGCAACATCCTGGTAAATCTCCTCTGCACCTTGTCCAACGCTTCCACATCTTTCCTGTAATGAGGCGACCAGAACTGGACACAATACTCCAGATGTGGCTGAACCAGGCTTTTGTACAGCTGGAGCATAACTTCACGGCTCTTGAATTCAATCCTTCTATTAATGAAAACTAACACACCATACGCCTTCTTAACAACTCTATCCATCTGCGTGGCAGCTTTCAGGGAACTGTGGACATAAACCCCAAGATCTTGCTGCTCCTCCACACTGCCAAGAATCTTTCCGTTAACCTTGTACTCTGATTTCAAGTTGTTCCTTCCAAAATGTATCACCTCACACTTGTCATTGAGGACGTCTCCTATCTGTTTAGGCTCTGTGCACAAATTCCGTTTACAATCCTTGATTGGCCCTACCCTTTCTCTGGTCATTCTCTTATTCCTCATGTATGTGTAAAAAGCCTTGGAGTTTTCCTTGATCCTATCTGCCAAGGTTTTCTCATGCCCCCTTATAGCTCTCCTAAGACCTTTCTTCAGCTCCTTCCTGGATAACTTGTATCCCTCGAGAGCCTTTTCCGTTCCTTCTTTCCTAAACCATACATAAGCATCCTTCTTCCTCTTAACCAGTCGTTTGAAATCTCTTGAGAACCAAGGCTCCCTCACTTGACTGCATCTTCCCTGCCTGCTAGGGACAAACATATCGAGCACACGCAGTATGCATTCCTTAAACAATCTCCACATTTCCGTAGTGCTGTTCCCATTTTATGTTACCCAGTTCTTGCCTAACAGAATTGTAATTACCCTTCCCCCAATTATAAACCTTACCCTGCTGTATGTACCTGTCCTTTTCCATGATTATTGTAAAAGTAACAGAATTATGATCGCTCCCGCCAAAATGCTCTCCTACCAACAGGTCTAACACTTGGCCCGGTTCATTGCCAAGCACCAAATCCAAAATGGCCTCTCCTCGTGTTGGTCTCTCTACATACTGTGTCAGGAATCCTTCCTGAATGCACTGGACAAAATCTGCTTCATCTAAACTATTACAACTAAAATGTTTCCAATCAATATTTGGCAAGTTGAAGTCACCCATGACTACAACCTTTCCAGTATCTGCCTCCCAATCCGCTCCTCCACATCTCTGCAACTATTAGCGGGTCTGTAAAAAACCCCCAACAAAGTGACTGCTCCTTTCTTGTTCCGGACCTCAACCCAAACTGACTCTGTAGACATATCATTCTCGAACTGCCTTTCAGTAGCTGCTATACTAGCCCTGACTAGCAATGCCACTCCCCCACCTCTTTTTTCACCCTCCCTATTTTTTTTAAAGCATCTAAACCCTGGAACTTCCAACAACCATTCCTGTCCCTGAGTTACCCAAGTTTCTGTAATGGCCACGACATCGTAGTTCCAAGTACTGACCCATGCTCTAAGTTCATCCTATGCTATGTTAAGCTGTGTTAAGCTATATCTTGCTAAGGTCAAAGCACAAGTAGGACTCCAGTGAACCCAATTAATCTACTAATTTATTAAATGCTGCGTATTTTCAACTACGTTTTGAAACTGAAATGGTGTTATGACGAGGTGTGGAGAGGGAATCGCTTCCCTCTTTTTAAACCCCCTTTCAGTGAATTTCAGATATCTTTTTTTTTCCCTGTTATCACTCCACTCCAGTGAAAAAGTTAGTTTGTTCAAAAATTAAGGAGTCACTTATCAAGCATTGCTTGAATGAAAGAAGGAAGAATTTAATGGCAGAATTGAATCTTCAGCAGTAGTAAAAACTGTAGATCTGACTTCTGTGAATATCATTGCTGTTTTTTTTTCCAGAGATGATGAGAGAAACAGGCAGGGTTGGAGAATTCCAGCTCGTTCTTCGACCCATTCAATTTTTCTTCTCTCAAAAGCAGCAGTTAAAATATAGTTCATTAATGCACGAGAGTACTTGCCAGCCAACAACAGTGGAAGGAATGCCGTTCAGTATGTACCGATAGTTGGTATGTGACCTCACAGGATTTGTCTATGAGGTGTGGTCTTCTGGACCAGTGACTCATCAGAAAAAGAGTAGCTAAAAAGTAAAAGCTTGAAAATTCTTCTGAGGTGGTGTCCAATTCCGCTGATCATGTTTTTAAATTGCAGCAGACCTCCTTTACCAATTGTACTTTCTCTTGCTAAAATAGATCATTAGCTACTTGAATGCCACACAAATTTAGACAATTTTCATTCACTTAACTGGCCTTAAAGTGTGTTTGTTCCAGATAGGCCGATGACAAAATACTTGTAAAGTATGTAACACTGCTTGAAAGAAGGATGATTATTTTTAGAAGACCTGTCATTATGGTGAGAGATGCAGATAAAATCAGTCTGGATTAGAGTCAGTGACTGATCCAGCTGCTTTGTTACTTATTTTCTAGAATAAAGAGGTTAGGCTGCTTGGTAGTAATATTCACTGGAAACTCTCCTACCCGTATGGATCATTATTGAAAAAATCAGTCTTTTATAAACACTGTTGGCACAGGCGTTGAAATGTGAATCAAATGAGGATGCATCTTATCGCAAAGAACTGGACATCACTAAAATTTTGTATTGATCCACCTTGCACTTTGTCCCCACATTTACTTGAGACAAACTCTCTGGCTGAAGTCTTAGATTCCTGAATTGGAGCTCTTATGTTCTATCATGTACGTTGTTCAATAATTACAGCGTTCACATTTTGTAATGCCTGATATTTCAAAACCTGGAGCATTGTACTGTCTCCACTTTGGTTACCATTTGCTTCTGGCATTCTTTTTTTGAGGGTAAAATTGGCTGGAGAGGCAGTGGTGGTTTAGGAACGTTCCCTTTGATTCCAACTGAAAAATACTCTTGTTGATTTCGGCTGTGAAATTTTTTGATTGTTTGCCCTGTTTTCCTGACAAACTCCATTGCAGAGGAAATTTTGTTAACTTCCTGTGAAGCACCTTGGGATTTCTTAGCACATTAAAGACACTACATTAATACAAATTGTTGTTAAAAAGAAACTCATTAACGCTAAATGTTATGATTTTAATTATCACAAACTTGTGAACACTTTGTTGAACTTTGTTTGTGTCGTTGGTTACGTTTATAATAGTTTAGTTTTGGAGGTGAGTTCCTATTTCCAGTCCTAAAGGAAACGTTTCCAAATACTTCACATGCATATTCAGAGATGGAATTTGTTTCAAAACATAATTATTAAGAATACAATGTTGAAATGCACATTAGTCGCATCCTAGAATCACTCAATTATATTTATATTGTGTTTCTTGCTTGATGTTCAAAATTACAACGCAGTATTGTAGTTTTACGGACGACTGAGATACAGTGCGCGGAATTTCTGAAACTGATGTAATGCCTCCAGAAGCTTTAAAGTAATGCCAAGGTTGATTTAGTTTTTTAGCTGTCTCCATGTATTTTTAACTTGATAAAGTACATTGATGTTCATTCTTGTTTATTTTTATCTGCCTATTCTGTTCAGGTCTCAACAGTTGGTGTATTTGGATTTGCTGCAAATGCTGAATCTGTGACCAAGTTCTTTTCAAAAGGCTGTGCTCTGGCTGTAAGTGTTTGAAATAGATTTTTTAAAATAGCACTCGGAAACATGTTTGCAATTGTGCAGAATTTTATAGGATGCGCAAAAATCGATTTACTGACATAAACGGGGATTGTGTAGAAAAGTGATCAGTGCAGCTGAAAACTTCTCGGCTTGTACTTCTGACTCGTTTGAAGTATTTTTGAAACTGAGCTAAGTAGTGTAACAAAACACCTTTAAAGCAGAAAATTCCACTGAATTCTGCCCAAGCTTATTTAACTTCGTAAATTTGAAAGGCGAGTGAATTTATGAACTTTATCGTAATGCAACAAAACAAACGTTGCTGGAACAGCCCAGCACGTCTGGCAGCATCTGTGAAGGAAAAGAAGAGTTAACATTTCGGGACTGGTGACCCTTCCTCCGAAAACATTTTTTCCTTGACGGTTGCTTTTCCAGCATTTTTGGTTTTGTTCCTGATTTACAGCGTCCTTAGTTCTTTGCGTTTTTATTGTAATGCAGATTGAGTAGTATCGAGTACCAGTGAGTAATTAGCATGTTTGTGCATCAGTAAAAGCAGAACCATTTGTAATGACCCCAGTGGTTGAATAACCTACTGACTTTGTTAAGGCTGTCTTGATAACAAGTTCCATCATCTACAGAGCTTCATCCCAGCAGGAATCATGGGTGGGGGTAAAATTGGAGGGAGGAAAAGAAGGTCACTGCATTAATTGTTGGATAAACATAGTACTGCCAGTCAACCTCTGCCTTTGAGAAAAAAAATCTCTTGATTTCTTGCGATTCCACTACATTGGTGATTCAGCTCTCGAACGTCTTTATTACAATCAATTCAGGTAAAATTCATATCCTGTTTTTAAAAGACATATAGAGTGATGCTCTAACTGAGGGTGCCGAGGATCAGAGATCACCTAACACAGACTTGTGTAAAGCAGAATAATCTCACTTTCAACCTAGCAAAAACGAGCCTACTATTTTAGTCATGAGATGGCAGGCTTCCAGTTAGTTCCTTCATGGGAAGTTCAAGGATAGACTCTTCAGCACAGTTAGAAAGAAGGAATGTGCATTGATGTACTACCTTTATTGCATCTCTCAGTAAAGTTGGAAAATATTTAGATATTAGGAATTGGTTCAAAAATGAGGTCACTGTTATCCAGTTAAATGTGCACTGAACTAACCTTCATTGCTCAGTCCTTTGAGTAGAGGAGTTGGGAAGTCATGTGGAGGTTGTACAGGACATTGGTGAGGCCTCTTCTGGAATACTGGGTCCAGTTCTGGTCACCCAATTATAGGAAGGATGTTATTAAGCTGAAGAGGGTTCAGAAAAGATTTACCAGGATGTTGCCAGGTATGGAACGTTTGAGTTATAAAGAAGGGGTGGATAGGACCTTTTTCACTGGAGCCGAGCAGGTTGAGACCCAACCTAATGGAAGTTTATAAAGTAATGAGGGATATAGATAGAGTGAATGGTAGTTGTCATTTCCTTCAGGTGGGGGATTTCAAGACTAGGGGACACATTTTTAAGATGAGAGGAGAGATATTTAAAAAGGACATGAGAGGCATTTTTATTTACATAAATGGTGGTTTGTGTGTGGAATGAACTCTCTGTGGAAGTGGTGCATGTGGGCACGACTACAACGTTGAAAAAACATTTGGATAGGTATGTGAATAGGAAAGTTTTGGAGGTGGATATGGGCCAGGAGCAGGCAGGTGGGACTAGTTTAGTTTGGGATTATGTTCGGCATTGACTGATCGCATCGAGAGATCTGTTTCCGTGCTGTATGACTCCAAATAGCAATGAGGTGTGTAGTTCATCGAGTTTTGGTAGTGTTGATTTGAGGGAAGAACGATGGCCAGGATAGAACTCCCTGCTACTCTTTGCACATATCCATCAGATCTTCAATGTACACCTGAGGCAGCCAGGCTCTTGTTTAAACATGTCCTGTGAAGGATGACATCTTTCGCAATGCAAGATGCCTTCAAAATTTTAGCTTGATCCGCATGTTGCAGCGTTGAAACGAGGTATTAATCAATGGCTTGCCAACTGAATTAAGGATGCTGTCAAACTGACTGATGACAGGTGACAACATAACACTGCTCATCTGTTCTCAAATCTAAGTATGATTTAAACTGTACAACATTCATTGAATTTAATAGAATAATTTCCTCCAGACCTATTGAATGACAGTGGGATCAAAGCTACCTGATCATGTCTAGGTGGTGAGTATAATTTGGCAAAGGTCTGTTTTTTATTAACAAATATGATGATAAGAGCATCAGATATGGGAGCAGAGTTAGGCCTTTCAGCCCATCGAGTCTGCTCCAGCATTTGATCGTGGTTGATATGTTTTGGAACTCCATTCTCCTGTTTTCTCAATTCCAATCTCCTGTCTTCTCCTCATAACCTTTTGATTCCCTTGCTAATCAGTCTGTGGTAAGCATCAGTGAAGTTCAATTACAGTATAAATGCAGTATTGGATGGAGTGCAGTGTAGGCATGCACAGTTTGCAAGGGAATATGAGAAAAAAAACAAGTCCTTTATTTGGCAAAGTTGTTTGTCACAGATGAAGCTGAATGGAGGTGATGTAGTTATCAGTATAGAAGAAGGGAAAAGTAAATTGTCTCTTGGTTTCAACCAGATCAAACCTGGATGACTTCCACCTTGACTATACTTGGACTCGGGCGAAAATGCCGACTTTCAACTGGCAAGCTCTGTCATTGTGATAGACAGCAGTTCTTCTCCTTTTGTTCTTCTTTCTGCTGGCTTTCAGCTAAATGGACAGGTACATATTTGGAATGTACTGTTTTGGGAACATAATTTTGTAATCTGCTTCTCTTTGTCATTTCTTCCCCAGCCGTTGGTAATGTTTTGGGGTTGTTGGAGTGGCTGGATTTTTCTTGGAATTGAGCATTAAATTCAGAAGACTGAGGCCCAGGTTTACTGTCTACCGTTCACGGAGGCCAAGCCGTGAGAGGACAGAGGAAGAAACTTGGTGAATCGCGACAGCAGACAAAGAGAAAGATGGTGATCGGGACAAGGAGAGAGAGAGAATGGATAAAGGAGAGAATGAGCATTCCAGGCCACGTCGAAGCTGTACTTTGGAAGGATGTGCTAACAATTACGCAGAAAGTGACCACATCGTAGATGAAGAAAACGACAAAGACAGTACTACCAATGAGGATGCTGGGAAGCAGTCAAAAATAAAGAAACCACCAAACAAGATATCGCTTTGTGAGGGAGCAGAGACCAGTGACATAACTTCATTTGTGACAGAGGACGATGTTGTCTACAGGCCTGGAGCCAAGTAATACTTCATGATTGATTTTCTGGAGATTTTAAAAATACAGTAATGGATGTCAACATGACAAGGAAACAGACTTATCAAGGGGTACAGATGACATCAGCAACTGCAAGTATAATTTAAGCCATGTTTATCGGTCATTTAAACTCCAATTTCAGGTTATGGCCTTGAGTAATAAGGTATTGTAATGATGTCATCTTTGTGTAGTTAATGTGTAATGATGATCTCCCTCAAAGTTGACTCAGTTATTTGTCACTTATTGAAATATTTTCTAGTTTGAGTCTGGGAAAATATTGCACTGTAGAATACATAGATGATAACTCAATATTGAAATGTCCAGTTAAACGTAAAATAGAATGCAGTCAATTATCGTTTACCATTCTCACCAGAATACCAGAAAATATCACTACCTCACCATATATTCTGCTAGCATGCTGAAGAATTTTGGGCAGCAGCCAGATTTGGAGTTGGAGACTTTTTATTTGGCATGTTAATTTTTAAGAGACAAATAAACTGCAGATGCTGGAAACCAAGGTAGGACCTCCGACTCCTCACTTTCTACTCCACCAGCATCTGCATCCAACGTGTCAGCCTCAAACACTTGCGCCAGCTCCAATTATACCCCATCACCTGGAAAATCTTCTACTCCCCGCCCTTGTCTGCCTTCCACAAGGACCATTCTCTTTGCCACTCCTTAGTTTGCACGACACTGCCCACCAACCACTCCAACCACATCCCCCTTTCCCTCAGCACCTTCCCCTGTAACTGTAACAGATGCAACACCTGCCCACACAGCACCTCCCTCACCTCTGTCTAGGACCCTAAACAGTCCTTCCAGGTGAAAGAGAGCTTCACCTGCATCTCCTTCAACCTATTCTATTGGCTCTGGTGCTCCCGATGTGGTCTTCTGTACAGGGGTGAGACCACATGTCGATTAGGTGACCTTCTCGCTGAGTATTTTCGCCTGGCCTGTAATGGCCAGCCTAATCTCCTGGTCACTGGCCACTTCAACCCTCCCTCCCTCCCTGCCCCACATATCTGTCCTCTGCCTGTTCCAGTGTTGAAGCAATTCAGACCACCTAATCTTTCACCTGGACACCCTACAGCCGGTGGAATCAACATTGAGTTCTCTAATTTCAAACAACCTTCCCACCCATCCCCTTGCTCCCTTTCCAGCTCCATCTCCTCCCCTCCATTCCACCTACTGACTGGTAGTTGGAAGGGACAACCGGATTAATCCCTCCCATTGACCAACCAGGTCATACCTACTATTGGTGTCCACCTATCGCCAGCACTCTGTTACCATTTCTCCCCCACACAACCGCCGGCCCCCACACCCCCATCTGCAGCTCACCCTACCCCCACATCCAACCCTGAAGAAGGGTAATTCCCGAAACGGTGACTTCTCCTTTCCTCCAGATGCTGCCTGGCTTGCTGTGTTCTTGCAGCCTGCTGTCTGTCATGTTAATTTCTAATCCTGAATGATAAAGAGAATTACATTGTGGAAACTGGAAATTCTTCCCACAACAATGTGACCCACTGCATTCATGAACATTTCTCTAACCCCCACCAAAAAAACTGTGCTTATTGAATTTATTGTGGAGCCACATTTTGCCTTTGAAAGTTGATAGTTTGATTTAAAATTTATTATAGTGAATTTGGTGACCATTTGGATACTGTATTAATGCTGCCCAATGGCCACCAGTGTTGATGTTAGAAATTGTGAAACTAATACAGTTTAACATAGCTCCATGCTTCTCTCTCTCATGTCTCCTCTTTGTGGTAAATATCACCTTCTGCTGAGCGGTGGATTCATGTCAAGGGGAGTAATTGGTCAAAATTATTCAATTGCTTTGTTTTTCTCATTTTGCCCATTTTTGTCCTTTGCTTAGACAGCTTCCTCATGATAGCAAATAGAAAGCAGAAATCCTTGAGTATCTTAATTAAGTCCCCATTCTTAAAAAGTGAACTTAGGCCATCAGCTGCTGATTTTCTGTGGGGAAACATCAAAGCTGAGCACGATTTATTCATTCCCCAGTGACCACATGCCTGTTCCTTCCGCAAGGATCACGAGCTTCGGGGGTTGTTGTGGCATAGCGTTGGTGTTCTTGCTTCTGAGCCAGGAGGGCCTGAGTTCAAGTCTTAGCTACTCCAAAATTTGTGTCTGAACAGGCTGAGTAAACAAAGAGACACTGGCTTAGTGATCAGCATTGAAGACATGGGTTGATTTAGTTCAGGGACACAAATGCTATCTCTCAGTCAAGGTCAGGGTTTTATGCTATGCAATTAATTTTTGGAAAACATTTTTAGTCACGTTAAGTATAGCTTCTGGACAAGAACAGCTTTGTTAATTTGCTGTTTTTAATTTGTTTCACTGGAACAGATGTATTCCGACTAGAAGCTGCAGTCTCTTTGATATGAGCTGTGATTTCTAATCTGTAATTTTGACACAATATGTACATAATATTGAAATTAATTGAGTTACAGTTTGAAAGCTATCGCAGTACACTGCAAATTAAGTTTTGAAAAACCCTTATTTTCAGATTTTCATTTTCTACAACTGCTTTTATCTCTTTCGATGTTTTAACATGGAAAATCCTCTAGTTAACAGAAAAGCTAACTGCTTTGCAAGTGGTACAATGGTTTAACTAAGTTGTTTGTTGTACTACAGCAGCAAAATATTGTAATGCTGTCTCTGTGTAACATGGTGATGTGTTGAAATGCTGGCAAAGCATCATCTTTGCCAACTTTATTTTTTGAAGGGAAATGAGGGTGACTGCCTTTGATGTCAAGGTAGCATTTGACTGAATATGGCAAAAGGAAGCCCGAGCAAAACTGGTGTATATAGGAATCGGGGAAAAACATCTGTGGCAAGCCATCTTCAATGATCTGTGCATATGTGTATACATACCCAGGTCCTTCTGTTCCTTTCTAGAGTTATACCTCTTTTGTATTGTCTTTTCTGACCAAAGTGCATTACCTTGCACGTTGAACCTGATCTGCCAGTTATCTACCCAGTTGACCAGATGTCACCATCCTCTCAATTTACAGTTGTTCCAAATTTAGCCTCATATGCAAACTTTGAAGTTGTCCCCTGGTCACAAAATATTTTTCAGGAGAAACAAGGGCCCCTATACCTCCCACCACGAAACTCCAATACGAAACTTCCTGCAGCCTGAAAAATATCCATTAACCATTATCCACTACTCTTTTTTTTCTACCACTCAGCCAACTTTGTATCCGTGTTGCCACTGTTCCCTTCACACCATGTCCGATAACTTCTCTCATGTCTGACATCGATCAAACGTCTTCTCGAGATCCACGTGTACCTTGTCAATGGCGTTACCCTTGTCCGGCCCTGCAAACATTTTAACTCCATCGATATTCCTAGTTCCATATATAACAGAATGGTTGTCCTGTTATCCCCATAGCTTGTGTCTGTTCTCCATTTTCCTGACGTGCCTACATGGATACTTGCTATTCCAGAGGGTAGCTTGGAATAAAACTGAGCATGAGAACCCGACGATCCATTCATATGCTGTTAATGGGCTTACTTATACTTATATGCTCATGGAAAAGCAAGACTAAAACCGTAATGTTTTAATGTTGTGCCTGTTGTGATGTTTTCAATATTTCAAGTAAAAATGTCTGACACCGTTGCTTCACTTTGGTGTTACACAGTTTTGAAAATGATTTCTTCAAATCAAATCCACATTTGGAAAGATACAATCAATATTCAATCATTCTTAATACTGCTAGTCGCAGTAAATGGACAAAACAGAAATGTCTCAATTCCTCCATTACAAGTTGGTGAAATTACACCGCCAACTGAACAGATATCACTGAACCTTTGATTAATCCTACACATCACTGCCACCTGGCAGAACGCGCAGGTCTTTTCAAAGGCTCTTTATTATAGGCACTGTTGTGATAAAAACAAAGTCTTCTCATTGCCTTTTATGTAATTTGTGGAAGCTTATGGACTGAAAGGGTGGTTGTGTACTTGTACTTCTCTCCAGTCTATGCCTCCCTGCTGTAATGTTACTAGGGTATTGAGGTTGGTTGGCTCGCCGAGCTGGTTTGTTGTTCCGCAGACGTTTCGCTACCGTGCTTGGTAACATCCTCCGTGCAGCCTCTGATGAAGCGATGGTGTGTTTTCCCGCCTGGTTCAACACCCACAACATGAGCGACAGATCTACTCCAAAACCTTAGTTACTAGGGTATCCTAAGTTTAATGAGTGAGGAAACTCCTACAAGTGACAATGGTCAATTATGATCCACAGGAATGCTTCTACAAAATCCGCATGCCAAGCGTACCCTTCATGTACTAGGGAAGCGTAGGTGATTGATACTAACATTTTCAGCATCTAAGTGGATAAATTAGACATCACAGTCTGTTTCTGTGCTGTACATCTCTATGACCCTCCCTGATAAAGCTATCTAACTGTGGCTACAATATTCATGACAATACTTTGATGTTTGATTCTCAATGAGATATGTGACATTATTCCCCTCAGAATGCCACACTTATTGAGCTCCACTGTTAGTTGAGCCTAGTTCCAAAAATTAGCTTCCATGTCCCCACTTCCACCCAGCCTTAACGTGCATCACGTTTTGGAAAATATCTGTAGCTCTGGTTATGGGTGAAGTTGTAGACTTGCTTGCTGAGCTGGCTTGTTCTCGTTCACACGTTTTGTCACCATGCCAGGTGACATCATCAGTGGAGCCTCCAATGAAGCGATGTTATTCTCCTCCGCTTGGAATTTATACTGTCTGGTCCGTTATGGTGCATAGTGTCATTTCCGGTTTTGATCTGTCTGGGTTTGTGTGTGGGGTCCAATTCTATGTGTTTGTTGATTGCATTTCAGGTGGAGAAGTATGCCTCGATGAATTCCCATGCTTGCCGATGTTTAGCTTGGGCTACTATGGTTACTTTGTCCCAGTTAAACTGATGGCTTTCGTTGTCTGAGCGTCCCGATATTAAGGACAGTTAGTCGTGCCATTTTGCTGCGAGCAGATGTTCATGTATTCTGATGGCTAGTTTCCTTCCTGTCTCTCCGATATAACGTTTGTGGCAGTCGTTGCATGGTATTTTGTAAACCACGTTGGATCTGCATGTTGTGGGAATGGGGTGTTTAATCCTTGTGAGTGTTTGTCATAGCTTGGCTGTGGGCTTGTGGACTGCCATGATTCCTCGTGGTCTTAGGAGTCTTGTTGTTAATTCTGATATGTTCTTGATGTCGGGCAGTGTGGCCAGTGTGTTACGGCGGAATGTGTTCTTTCGTTGTCGTCTGTTCAGTAGGCGTCTGCGGATGAAGTTGCAGGGATATCCGTTTACAGCGAGGATTTTGGATCCGTGCTCTTCCTCTTTCCTGCGTAGTTCTGGGGTGTTGCAGTGTGTTCTGGCCCGTTTGAGTAGTGTCCTAATGCAGTTTTGTTTGTGGACATTGGGGTGGTTGCTGTGGAAGCTGAGGATTTGATCAGTGTGGGTTGCTTTTCTGTATACCGAGGTTTCGAACTCCCTGTTGGTCATACGCTCAACTTGAACGTCCAGAAACGGAAGTTGATTGTTGTTTTCTTCTTCTCTTGTGGATTTGATCCCTGCGAATACGCTGTTCATGAGGTGGTGGGTCTCTTCTAATTTGTTGCATTTAATAATGACAAATGTGTCGTCTCTGTACCGGATCCACAGTTTAGGTTGAATGCCGGGGAGGGTGGTGTGTTCTAGTCTTTGCATGACTGCTTCTGCAAAGAGTCCTGAGGTGGGTGACCCCATTGGTGGACCGTTGATCTGTTTGTATCCCTGACCATGTGTGTGTTGAGGCACAGGTCTAGGATTTTAAATATGTTGTCATTGCTGATGGAGCTGCTGGTCTGTGTTGCTGTTTCCTCTAGTTATGTGGCCACTGTTTCTTTCGCTCGTGGGATGTCAACTGATGTGAATAAAGCTGTGATGTCAAAGGATACAGTAATCTCAGGCCAACTTTTTCACCCAGAAGGTGGCGCATGTATGGAACAAACTGCCAGAGGCTGTGGTGGAGGCGAGTTTGATTACAACATTTAAAAGGCATCTGAATTGGTAGATGAATAGAAAGCGTTGAGAGGGATATGGGCCAAATGCTGGCAAATGGGACTAGATCAGTTTAGGATATCTGGTCAGCATGGATTAGTTCGACCAAAGGGTTTGTTGCCTTGCTGTATTACTGTGTTTCTCTAAACGCCCTGTTGAATGCTTCGATTGTTTCTGTCTCTCGCCCATTCCATCTGTCTCTCGCCCATTCCATGAAGTGTGTTCCATACCCTAACTACTCACTAAGCGAGAAAGCTTTTCTTCACTTCACCCTTGCTTCATATACCCGAACGCTTTAAACCTTTGTCCTATTGTTGTTCCTTTTATGAGCCGGAACAGTCTCTCTTTATCTACTCTGTGCATCCTTCTCAGATTTTGAAAACCGCTCGATCAGATCTATTCTCAGTCTTCTTGTCTCCAAGGAGTCCTCATGAGTGAAGTTTCTCATTCCTGGAACTGTTCTTGTGAACCGCTTCTGACTCTCCCTAATGCATTCACAGCTTTTATATGATTGAATTTTTAGGTAAAAGCTCAAAGGCTCCCCAAACTGATGATGAACTCTGTCTCTTCCTGTCTCTCTCTCTCCCCCTCTCTCTCCTCTCCTTTCTCCTCTCCTTTCTCTCTCTCTCTTCTCTCTCACTTCTCTCCCTCTCTCTGTTCTCCCTGTCTCCTCTGTCTCCTC